GAAGTAGTGTAGCTCGAGAGAGTCTCTCGGGAGGCTGGATTAGCCACAAGTTGTGGTGAACCAGGGTAAATCTTGGTGTGCTCCCTTTACTCCTTTTTATTCCGCTCTTTACTTTATCCCTGCGATTCTTGTTCCGCGAAAATTTATAAACATTCTCATGCCTCACTAATCACCCCCCTCTAGTGAAGGGCACTTATTCTAACAATTGGTATCGGAGCCTAACTCGCAACTAAACTTAACCGTTTGAGAGTAAAGCGATCATGGGTTCTTCTTCTAGAAATCTTTATGCAGGAATTGGAGAAGGTCAATCAACCTCTAGGCCACCGCTTTTTGATGGCACCAACTACACATATTGGAAAGAGCGGATGAGAATTTATATCCGCTCAACCAACTTCCAGTTGTGGTTGGTCATCAAAAACGGCGAAGAAACGCCAATGAAGAAGGTCGATGAAAAACTCATCCCAAAGACCGAAGACGAATTTGATGCCGAAGACATCAAAAAAGTGGAGAACTACGCCTAGGCAATCAACATGCTGTACTGTGCGGTCAATCCTGATGATTATCGCAAGATCTCTTGCTGCACCACGGCAAAAGAAATGTGGGACAAGCTGGAAGTCACATATGAAGGTACGGACCAAGTTCGGGAAGCCAAAATTGACTTTCTAACGCAGGAGTACGAGATGTTCAGGATGAAGGAGCACGAGAAGATTGACGATATGTTCGACCGTTTAATTGAAGTTTAGTAAATAAAAATGATAATGTTAAAAATTGAACAGAGGAAGAAGATGATGAACAGTGGCCAAAAATCGATTATTTCCTTCCTAATAATCGATTAAAAATTTGTTCAGATAGTTAGTATATTTAAAAATAATAATAATCGATTATTTTAATCATAAAAATCGATTTAACATTATTAATCAATTATTTTAATTATAAAAATCGATTTTTAAGTATTAATTGATTATTTTAAAAATAAAAATCAATTTTTAGTAATTAATGGATTATTTAAAATATAAAAATCGATTTTTAGCAATTAATTGATTATTTAAAATATAAAAATCGATTTTTAGCAATTAATTGATTATTTAAAATATAAAAATCGATTTTTAGCAATTAATTGATTATTTAAAATATAAGAATCGATTTTTAGCAATTAATTGATTATTTAAAATATAAAAATCGATTTTTAGCAATTAATTGATTATTTAAAATATAAAAATCGATTTTTAGCAATTAATTGATTATTTAAAATATAAAAATCGATTTTTAGCAATTATTTGATTATTTAAAATATAAAAATCGATTTTTAGCAATTAATTGATTATTTAAAATATAAAAATCGATTTTTAGCAATTAATTGATTATTTAAAATATAAAAATCGATTTTTAGCTATTAATGGATTATTTTAAATATAAAAATCGATTTTTAGGTATTAATTGATTATTTTTAAAAATAAAAATCGAGTTTTCTTAAGTCCAGATCCTGTTCCGAAAATATTCGGAAAATATATACTCTAAAATCCACCAATTGATTATGATCATTGGAAAAATGATTTACCATAA